CCAAACTAAAAACTGCAGGGATTTTCTGCAGGGAGAAAATGTATGTGAGACACAATCTTGTCACCAGAATACTCAGTTAGGATATAATTTGGCCCTCCTACCTATATGCACATCAGGTAAATATTAAAGTAATATTTCCCACCTAGGCAGACATTAACCAGCACTCACTGAAGGACTGCCAACAAGAAAAACCTGAAGACAAATAACCAATAAAAACACGTCAGACTTCTTCTATGACTGTCATCTTTTACACAAATGTCATGATTACTCATGTATGTTAATCTAGCCAAGCAATGAAGAAGACCTTCATTACACATTAAAAAGTAATAAATAACCATAAAGAAGCCCTTTTAAGCACGAGCGCTGGAAAACAACAGGGACCAATTATGTAAAGTCAAACTATGTAAAATCATCCAATAGTCCACTTCACATGCACCGTCAGAACCGTTTGGTTTACGTGCAGCTTGGATAGAGTGCTCAGGGGGCAGGACACATGGAAACCTTTGCTGTGAATGAAGGAGAAAATTACCTACACTGTTGTCTGTGCTGCAGGACATCACAGTTTCTGTTGGAGACCTGGTAGGACTCTGCTTCAGGCCAACAGCGTCAGACATTTTCTTCAATTCAGTGTTATTTATACAGCGCCAATTAACAGCAACAGTCACCTCAAGGTGCTTTATATTGTAAGCTAGACCCTACAATAATACTTCATTTCAGTTCATTTAGTTAATATAAGACAGTAGACATAATGAAATTTCATTTATTTTCAACGAACGGCAAGGTATAAAAGTACTTTTTACAAATGACACCAAAATAATAACAGTAAAAAAAACCAAACTGAAATAGTAATATCTATACTGATGTGGACTAGGTAATGTGTTAGTAAGGAAAGGATGCTAAGGCAAATCAACCTACAGAGGGCTGAATTTAAGGACACCCTAAAAATCAAAGTGGAATGATGAGTGGATGGTGTTCTGGGGGATTACCTCCCAAATCTGGACCAGGGCATCACCTCCACCTCCACTCTCCCACAAGAGCACTGGTATTGTTGTGCACAGTGTTGGGTAAGTTACTTTAAATTAGTAACTTAGTTACATTACTAGTTACTTCTATCAAAAGTAACTCAGTTACTTCAAGTTACTCGTTATTTTCAAAGTAACTAGTTACTAGGGAAAGTAACTTTGGCTTTACTCAGAATTCTCTTGTTAACGTGTTGCTAACGGGATACCCAGCCAGACTGCCAGTCTTCTAGCTTGCTTACTTGCCACAGTGCACTGTGCCACCTACCAATAGAAAGGAAAAGATAATGTGCACATTTCCACAAGAGAAATCCCACGCCTGGACCGTCGTTGACTGCTGCCATGATTCTAGCCTGCGTCACAGCGTCATGTGTGCTTTTTACATCCAACACAAAAACTGCAGTCGTGGTGCTTTCGATTGTACTCAGAACTCGGAAATTCTGCCTTCTGAATAGGAAGATGTAGGCAACACCAGACTGCAGATGAGCTGCATACAGGGCTGGACTGGCCCACCATTATAGGAAACATCATAAAGCCTTTGAATGAAAACAAATGCTGTTGTGACAGTGATGTGCACTGTCTTGTTGGTATATATGTATCAATCTATCAATCGTTTGTTGTAAGATTCAGATAATTATTTATTAAAAGGTAGACATTTTAAATGCGAATAAGAAAGAAAAGTATTTCTTTGTGCCCCCCTCTCCCTGTTAATGCCCTATCTGGCCCCCTGGCAACACTTTCCTAGACCCGCCCCTGCACAGTTACCAGCTGTCAGCTACATAAAAAAAGGATCCTGGGGTTATTTATCTCTCAGAAACAGCTCATAACTTCAACTCATTCATGTTAACTAAAAGGTAAACCTGTTTCTCCATCACCTGTTCAGCTCTGATGATTCAGTAAGGACATCTCCTGGTTTCATCTTCATGTTTCCCTCTCACCACATATCCAAACCGACATCATGACCAGCAGCTTTACAGCTGTGGCTCCAGAAAACATCAGCTGATACTAGAAAGTAATATTAAATACATTCTAACAACAACTGATCAAGCTTAAACGTGCTGCTGTTGTTTAGCGCGACATCCGCTGGTTTCCTCTTTCTGGCGCAAAGTGGGCGATAAACAAACAAGAGAGAAAAGCCGATCAGCTGATCACTGATCAGTTTCATGACTGAAGTAGCAACAGGAGAGAGAGGGAGAGAGAAGAGGCAGCTGTGCAGCAAAGACACAGAATAACTCCAGCTTTGTGTCTTTTTCCCTTCTAGCTGAAGTCCGGGACAAACTGTGTTCCTTCTCAGCTCAATACGCGTAATATTTTCTCTGAATACGAGATGATTCTGTGTTTTTGGGGACGGTTGGCAAATCTACTAACTAACCTTATGAATAAAATAAAGTTCACTATCAGTAACATCATAGCACCACCCAGCTGTATGGAAACTCCGTCATGCTAGCTAGTAGCAGTACGAGTTATTGTAACTGACTGTAAAAAGTCAGCACAACGAAAATAAACTCCACCTGAACTTGGTTTATATCTGACCCAGATAGACTGCAGGTCATAACTTCTTACCTGAAGTTCAGTTCACCTGATACTCGGACCGGCGGCCGCCTCGGGTCTCTCCTCCTCCTGCGTCCCCTTTCCCTCCTCCACCTGCTGGCCTCCACCACTTGCTAATGTTACTGAATCTGTGGAAGCTCCGTGATAGCCACCACACAAAGTAACGAATAACGAGCCTATCTAAATCCCAGTAACGATTAACGCGTTCCTGATTTTGGCATAATAATTAGTTACCGTGCTCGTTACCAGAATAATAACGTAGTTACTGTAACGCGTTACTTAATAACACGTTAGTCCCACACTGGTTGTGCACTAGGAGGAATCCAGGACCCACCACACCAGCTTAGGGTCTGACAATGGGTCCAAGGATTTTTAGTCCATTTTTATTTACACAGCGCCAAATCACAACAACAGTCACTTCAAGGTGCTTTATATTGTAAAGTAGACCCTACAGTAATACATACAGAGAAAACCCCAACAAGCACTTTGGCGACAGTGGGAAGGAAAAACTCCCTTTTAACAGGAAGAAACCTCCAACAGAACCAGGCTCAGGGAGGGGCGGGGCCCTCTGCTGTGATTGGTTGGGGTGAGAGAAGGAAGACAGGATAAAGACATGCTGTGGAAGAGAGACAGAGGTTAATAACAGATATGATTCAATGCAGAGAGGTCTGTTAACACATAGTGAGTGAAGAAGAAACACCCAGTGCATCATGGGAATATCCGGCAGCCTACACCTATTGCAGAATAACTAAGGGAGGATTCAGGGTCACCTGGTCCAGCCCTAACTATATGCTTTAGCAAAAAGGAAAGTTTGAAACCTAATCTTGAAAGTAGAGATCACAATAGCTAATAGCAGTCAGCGTGCTAGCCTGTAGAGCTCTGCGTCTCTCCATGGCCTCCCCAGAGCATCACCGACCCACCATCAAACCAGTCATTCTGAATGATATTACAGGCAGCAGGTTGTTCTCCACAGCTTCTGCAGACCCTTCTATGTCTGCCACATTGTTTGGTCAGAGACATTCATGCCAGTGCCTGCTGGAGGTAATTTTGTAGGACTGGGAGTGCTGGTTCTGTTTCTCCTTGCACAAGGAAGCAGGAAGGTCCTGCTGATGAGGTAAGGACCTTTGGCTACGTTCACACTGCAGGTCTTAATGCTCAATTCCAATTGTTTGATCAAATCCAATTTTTTTGTCTGCTTGTTCACACGACAAATAAAAAGTGACAGCAAACGCGCTCTAGTGTGAACCTTCAAAGCGGCCGCATGTGCAAAAGAAGGCATCACACAGAACGCGCTCTGTTTGGACCCAGAGCAAACAGTATTGTTTGACTGACGGACATTACATTTGGCCTAATAATGATCCTGATTGCTGTCTTAGAGGAGCGGTGCTTCAAAGGATAGCTGCAGATTTCTGTCAGAATCTGCAGATTATACAGTACAAATAAAATGTTCACGTTTCTCCAACGTTGTCTTCCAAACAGTTTCACTAACATCTACACTGGATGGCCAGGAAGCGTTCACGATGTCTTATCGGGCGCTTCTCCGGCGGAGATAATTGGCGTTTTGTCTCGTGTCAGTGACATAAAAGACGGATTTAATGCGACAAGACCATCAAACAGCAGATGCTTTCTAGAACATCAGATATGTATCGGATTCGGTACCACATACGAAAGTGACCCAGGTTGGATTTGAAAATATCGGATTTGTGCCGTTCACACTGTCACACCATGATCAGATTTGATGCGTTTTCGCCTGCAGTGTGAACGTAGCCTTTGACTGCCCTGTTCAGCTCTCCTGGAGTAACTGGCTGTCTCCTGGATTTTCTCCTATGCTCTTGACTGTGATGAGAGACAAGCCTTGTGTCAGCGGCACATATTGATGCGCCATCCAGGCAGAGTTGGACTATTTTTGCAACCTCTGGAGGCTCACCTAATGCAGCCAGTAGCAACAATGACCATAACCAAATGGATAACTAGTGACAAAACAGTCAGAAAAGATGAGAAGGGAAAAACTGTCAATGGCCCCCCACACTCCTGTTTTGGGGGTTGTCACTGTAGTGCGCCTGTTAATTTCATTAACACCAAAGCAGCTGTAACTGAGAGAAGAGCTGTCAAAGAGAAAAGGTAATTATCTGCTTAATTTGCAGAAAACCCAGAATAGTGCATCCACGGTCCTCTGGATACATTGTTACACTGTATTATTCCAAACCAGATATCTGCATTTCCTCGCTTTTTAGGTTCCCTGTGCCACCCCGACTTATATTTCATGGAAACGCCCCTGCCTTCATGTCATGTAGCGGTCAAGAGTTGTGCTATCCGGGCAAGCAGATGAGTGTGCACATGCGTGCGTGCAAGTGAGAGCAGAAGGCGTAGCTACTTCAAAGGGGGGGGGTCGAAGTGGGGCACAAGGAGAGGAGCGAGGAGGGTCCGGAGGTAACGAGGAGGGAGGGGAAGTGTTGTAGGTCCCTGACATGAATGGACTATGTTCGCTAAAGGAATCGTAACTCTCCCGGTTTGCTCAATTCTCCTGCTTCATCTCCCGGTTTTCCCGCTAACGGACAGCTGGCCCGTTAAGGTAAATAACTCGGGTCGTCGCCGTTCACTTCATTCCGATCAATTCTGTGTCTGTTCAGACGTTATGAAGGGGGTCTTGGTAATTCACGGTTTTATCACCAGTTTTCGTATCAAGTTCGTAATTGATGCCATCCTCCGAGTCGGTTTATTAGTAACATGGCAATGCGCTCTCTGACGTCGAGCTTCCCCGTACAGGCGGATGGGAAGATAAGTCTTCCCCAGTCCGGGGAAGTCAGGGTTCCCCTCGACGTATCCGCGTTGGACTGTAAAGAGCCATAAAACTGCTCAACACTGTTCACATTAGACGGCAAACAGACAGCAGTGAAGTGACTTAAATGTTGCTTATGATCAAAGCAGATGTAACACTAGCTGTTGAAGCTCTCCCGCAATAACTGGTGTCATATACGTTCAAACATGCCCTGTATGATGTGTGCTTTATGTTTGAAGCCAAATGAAAAAGCGTCTTTTGTCTTCGGTGGTTCAGTGTTTGGGCTGTTCTGCCGCTTCCCCCATTCAGCTTTCCTGCTTGTTTATCACAGTGTGGCTAAAAACATCAGCTTCTTGAACTACTGTCTAATTCAAACAGATGGTTTGCTGCAAGAGTGGATCTCAAAATTTTATTTTTGTCTGAACTTTGTTCATTTACTAGGCTAACTACAGGTAACTAACGGAAACTTAATTAGAGCATTTTACAGTATGCAGTAGTTTCTCAGTAACAGCTGTGGTCCATACAGAGCATTTATTTTTTGAGTCAGATCCTCTGACTATAAATAAAAGATGGTCATAATAAGAAAATTACTCTTATTCACAAAAAGGGACTCAATGCTCTGTGGAATATGACCCCAAGCTGGACCCACAAACTCAACAGGAAAATGTTTACTAAAGGTCATAGATACAGAGGGCTGAGAGACATTTTCCCATGGACATCTATACAACCAGAGAGCGGTTTCTAAAGAGAATGTGAGTTTAAGACACGTGTGTGTTGGCTTCACTCTTCATGCCTAGAAGCTGCATATCCCTCTTTTATACTGTCTGGGCCATCCCATCGTCTCATATTTATTAAGTTTTAAACTTGGTCAGCAAGTTGCATCCGTAAACTGTATGGGTGCTAAGGAACACAATAATGGGATGCATGGGTTTCACTCAGTTAAACTACAGCATATATTTCTTGGATGAACCGTATCAGACAGCAATACATATCTGTAATATACAGTGGGTAAAATTAGTATTGAACACATCACCAATTTTTATACTTATAAAAGTGCTATTGACATTAAATTTTCAATAGATGTTGTCAACAACCCATCCAATCCCCACATGCTAAAAAGAAAAAAAAAATCAAACCATAGATGTCCATAAATGATGTGCAATGATGAGAAATGACAGAGGGAACCAGTATCGAACATGTTTACTGAAATGGATTCAATACGTCGTACAAAAGCGTTTGTTGGCTTCAATACGCCTGCTGTATGCAGAAACTAGTCACAGTGACAGGTGTGATTTTACCCGTGCTGCCACACAGTCCAGAAGGTTCCGGGTCATTCTAGCAGCTTTGGTTTGTCTCTCTGAAACTAACCGAGTTTGTTGGCTGTGTTTGGCATCACTGTCCCCTCGTTTCATCTTCATCATCCTGGTAGGTGGCAGCAGGTTTTTATCAAGACTCTCAGGACATTTTTCCACTCATCCTTTAATTATTTGAATCACAGTGCTGTATGCTGAAAAACAGCCCCACACCATTTGGTGTTTTGGGGGTGCAGTGCCGTTCACCTCCAAACATGGGGTGTATTCTGGCATCCAGAGGTCAGCTTTGGTCTCATGTGACCAGACTCTACTCTCCCAGTTTTTCCCAGGCTTGTCTAAATGTTGTTCAGCAAACTTTAAATGTACCTCATTATGTTTGTGCTTCATTATACTTGCTGTCCCTGTGTGGAGACTGAAACACTGGGTGGATTGAGAGTTTACTGTTGGTCCCCAGATTGTGGAATGGGTTGTTCCTGTTAGATTGGCCCCAGCAGTTGCAGTTTTTAAATCATGTTTAACCTCCAAAGACCCAAACTCTTTCATGGCATGCATTTTTAATTTTTCTTTGCTATTTGGGTTGATTGGGACCTAAAGAATGTAAAAACAAAGAATTACCAATTCTTTTTTTTTTTTTACCTAATTTTTGTTTTTGAGAAAAATGAGATCCACATATGAGGACATTTGTTTCAAATTTTGATAGCACAGTGGCAGTATAATGTCCTCGTGAGTGGATATCAGGCCCTTGTAGAGAAAAATTAAGTATTTTGGTCTAGATGTCCCAAAATGTGATGCCCACATATGTGGACGCCAGGTCATAGGAGGTTAAAAAAAAAGCCTTTGGATTTCAATGTGAGTACTACTGTTAGCGTCCAGGTAGTTTTAGTCAGTTTTTTCATCAATTTTAATCTTTTGTACCCTTTTTAAGACTTATGTTTATGTATTGTACATTTTGTGTTTTTATTTTTCTGTTTTGTATTTTTTGTCTTCTTTATTTGATATGTGTTTGTGTATTTTATTGTCGCCGTCTTCTAACTGGAAAGCACTTTGGGTAACTAAATTCCTTTAAAGTGCTCTATTTTAAAGTCAGTCACCAGAAGTCGTTAATAGCTTTACGTATCGGGCAATTAAGAACAAACTGAACAGGATCGTCAGAACTGCTGGAAAAATATTAATCAGCAACAAACTTCATTGGATAAACTGTATCATCAGGCTGTTTAAGGAAGGTCCGGTTTATTGTTGCTGACGGTGAACACCCTCTTTACTCTGACTTTGAGTTAATGCGCTCAGGATGATGATATAGGACGCCTGTCTAGAACAAAAAAGTTGTATAAGGCGTCATTGAGAATATATAGACTTGAATGATTGCCTATGTTGGATTCTCTCCAACAACCATAAACTGCAATATTTGGTCCATCTTTGTAAAGTTTTCCTGATTATATCTCCTCCACGTCACCTCCAACTCACGGGTTATCATCCAGTTCCAGGCTTCTTTACCCATTTAAAAAAAACTAAATCAAATTAATCTCCTTTTTCAAAACGTCCTTGTTTCCTGTCTTTCTAAATAGCAGCTGCTCACCTGTTAGGACACCTAAACTTTGCCCTGTGCAAAAATCCACAAGCTGCGCTTTTAACCATCTCTCCTTGACACAGTCACTCTGGACAGATCTTCTGAAACTGAACGGCAAGTCTGGTAACTTCTGCTCACCAACTGGAATGGAATCACTTTCTTTTATCATGTTCAGCTGTCCTACCCTGAGGATATTCAGCTCTACACACATGCTGCTCTTTCTGCCAGATTTGGGGATTATTATAAAATGCACCTAGTATTCAGTGCGGGTTTTTTATGGAGCCATGAATGGTCAAAAAGATCCATTCCCATCCACTGAGACAACCTTGCCACCGTAGACCAATTAACAAAGGCCAAAGAAATTCCCCTTCCATCATGAAGCTGTCAGCCACCAGTTCTTACTCAGAACAGATCCGTTATCATTCCACCGCTGTCTCCCTGTCTCGTCGTTCAGAGCCTCGGCCCTCATGCAGAGGCAGTCCCGATGCAAGTACCTAGATTTTTGGCCACAACATTCGAGATCTAAACCCCAGCATTGCAGAGCTCATGAGCCTTTTCCAAGAAGTTATTATCAACAGCCTTGCTCCTGGACTGAAATCAATTTTTATTAATTTCACTACCACTTTAAACTTCTTTAAACTTTAAACTTCTCTTCCCATCCATCTTCGACCTCATGCTGTCTACCTCTAACTTCGGATCTTTCTGTTATTTTCATGCTCCGTTACAGATATGCTCACTGCTACCTGGATTCATGTGCTGTTCAGAGTTTACCTCAACGACGACCAAATTCAGTTCAGATCTTTATCCCTGCATAAGTGACCTTCACCCAGTCTCCGAAGACTGCCTCGTCTTCTCTCTCAAACAAAGTAAAACCTCACCACACCTCACATTCAGACCCTCTGTTTATAACTGAGTCTGGCCACGTGGATACCAGATCCTTGTTTCTCTCACACTTCAAGATCTCTTACTGTCTGGAATATCTCCTAGTCTAATATTACTAATAACAGTATATTTAGGCCTAATACTTTGTTAATCAGATCATCATGATCTTTGGTGAATACAGTCTTAAGACGATGTTGACATTATATTGTGAAGCTTTTGAGTTTTCATGTAAGGGTGTGGTTGTAGCAGCATGCCAAACTTGGACCTTTCACCATATGACACATATATATTAGGGGTGCAACGATACACAAAATTCACGGTTCGGTTCGATACTTTGGTGTCACGGTTCGATATTTTTTCAATATAAAAAATGTTCATGCTTTTTTAATTAGTCATTTATTAAAATTATAAATATATATTTTAACTCAAAAGTACAGTTTTTAAATTTAATGTTGCTGAAACAACAAAATAATAAAAAAAAAAAATCTATCGATCGAGAAATCGCTCATCTTTGGTAAATTGAGTTTATTACAGAGAAATGGCTCTTTCCAAAATAAAAGCTATACTATACGCTTCTTCTGGGCTATATTCTCAGCAGCATGTTAAACATATCAGGTCCCCATAAGGAGAATCCTGTGCTAACGGCTGTCTAAATGACTCGGGTAAAGTTTGTAGCATGCGTGCTTGTTGTTTTTGTCTGCTTCCACTTGTCTTTGCACTAGGATGATGTCGGAGTAAATGTGCAGTCATATTCGTTGTGTTCCCACTAGTGCTGTCATCGTTAATCTGAAATGACGTTAACGCCACAACACGGCAAATCTCCGTTAACGAGCCACCGCGGATCGCCCCGTGCGTGGGGCTGGACGGCCAACACGTTAACGAGCTAACTGCGCTAACGCACTAGTTCCCACCCATGTAATTGAGCATTGCGTGGCACATGCAACACACTATTTTACTTTTGTCCATGACGCGCTTACCTTCAGGGTCATACGTCACATGAAAACCAAAATAGTTCCAAACGCCAATGAATGAGGATGGGGGAGGTTCAGTTTGCCATGTTGCAAGGAGAGCTTAGCTTCTGTCTCGCTAGCTTGCCCTGCGCTCAGTGAATCTGCGTTCGACTACTCCGCCTAGGCTGCACTGTCGAGCGCAGATCCACTGAGCGCTCAACACAGACAGCATCGTCAGAAGGAAAGTTGATAAAATAAATTAAAAATGTTGTATTGTTCGATACATATGCGTACCGAACCGAAAGCACTGTATCGAACGGTTCAATATCGATACGAGTATCGTTGCACCCCTGATATTTATATATTTGTGTTCTGTATATTGTATATCGGCATTGTACCAGTCTGTCCCAAACTTTACCTGCTTGATGGGAGTCTGAGTATGGCGACATCATCCAGTCTACATGAAATTTTCATTTATAGTTTCATGCATGATATATATCAGCATTACATACGGGTAAGTCTCTCTATCGCCCTCTAGTGGGCATAGATGGCAATCCTTACATAAACAACCCAACAGCCAATTATCATCTCAAGCTAAAGAAAACCGCATAAGCACACGATGCTGTTCACCTGCAGCACGCTCAACCGCAGTGCGCCTAGACGTGCAGCGGTGTGCGAGGGCTCTGTCATCACTGGTTGCAGGTTTAAATTTATATAAATTTTTTTCCTTTTATTTTTCTTTAAGCCGTCCTAATGTTCTCCATGTTTGTGTCTGTGCATGATTTGTCTGTCTGTGTCTGTTAGGACAGAAGTGAAGTAAGGGTGGGGCAGCATGACAGCCATCTACGATCACACGGAAGTCAAAATGGGAAACAGACAGGCAAAAAGGTGATCACTGTCTTTTGAGTTTCTTTGCATGCAGAACTGTTGTCATGTAGATTTCAGTCTGACTCTGAATTTTTGCAGGTGGGGGCATTTTTAACATGCTGGCGAGAAATATGGAGAGAAATGTGCCTCAAAAGGGTTACAGACGTGTACAGTGATTGGTGTGTACTCACAAGCATGTGCTTGCACCCACACATAAATACATAGCAATTTGAGCACATGTAAAACTGCTTCAGAATCAGAATCAGAAAGGGTTTTATTGCCAAATGTTGAGCAGGTTTACAACATTAGGAAATTGCTGCGGTGCTTCAGTGCAAACATACTGTCATAAATTACGCTTAAATAGACATGAAAATAAAAATAAAAATAAGAGTTAAAAGTGCTAAGTAGATAGATATATACATGATATATACATGAGTGCAGGTGGTGATCAGTGCAAACATGGAATGATGCAGTGAACACAGCGTAGGGTCATGTGTTAGTGGTGGGAACAGTCATACGGTTATTGTTCATGTGTCCAACAGCAGAGGGGAAGAAACTGTTCTTGTGGCGAGAGGTTCTGGTGCGAATGGACCGGAGCCTCCTGCCTGAGGGGAGCAGGTCAAACAGACTGTGTCCAGGGTGAGAAGGGTCAGCTGAGATCCGAGCTGCACGCCCCAGTGTCCTGGAGGTGTACAGGTCCTGCAGAGATGGGAGTCTGCAGCCAATCACCTTCTCAGCAGAGCGCACAACACGCTGCAGTCTCTGTTTGTCCCTGATAGTGGCTCCAGCGTACCACACGGTGATGGAGGAGGTGAGGATGGACTCGATGGTGGGCTCCCACTTCAGGTCCTGGGTGATGGTGGTACCCAGGAAGCGGAATGAGTCCACAGAGGTGATGGGGGTGTCAGTCAGGATGATGGGGGGGAGTGGGGCTGTGTGCTTCCTGAAGTCCACAATAATCTCCACTGTCTTCTGGGCATTCAGCACCAGGTTGTTGTGGCTGCACTAGGACACCAGACGTTCAACCTCCCTACTGTAGGCAGACTCATCCAAACCTGAATAAAAAAACTGGCCGTTTACACACAATTAAGTTCAGCTTATGGAGTCGGATCATTTTCTTTTTCTGTGGATACAACTATCTAAAAGTTTGAATAACAACTCCGTCTCACTCACTTACTAAACCTTAAATATGATGTGAGTCTTCAAAACTTACACACAAACCACTGCACACGTTTGTAAGTACCATTACCATTATCAAGATACCATTAAGGTAAATCTATGTTTGCCACAAGTTCCTGAAAATGTCACGGTGTAAGTCCTGTTAAGAAGTGAAGTGTTTTTGAAGCGCTTTTACTTTGAAACAGAAGTGTGGAGTTTGTATAATATACAATTACAAAGTTTAACAGAACAGGATTTGATCAGACGTTGTAAAAATACTGATGGATTATTATCATTATTACATAAAGAGACCAGATGATTGAAACAGGAGTGTTCCTATTATTGTTTATGCTCAAGTTTTAGTTGCTAATGTCAAACCAGTACATCCCAGCAGCTTGTAAGGTGGAATATTTTACCAGTTATTAGTAAAATATTTCACCTTATTCTTGACTCAATACAACAGGAGCACCAAATCAACCCATGAACACCTTAAATGTCAGCTCTCTGTTGATTGCTTTAGTCTATTCAGTTCACCGATTGCTGGGTTTTAGTGTCTCTACTGGAACTGCAGAAAAAGGCAAAAAGTGACACAGTTAATGTTTTTGGTTTCTCTTCATGCCATGGAGGAATGCAACTATCTGGTTACTACTTCACAAATTGTGTGAGGAGATAAAGAATTGGACTGGATGACTGTTCTGAGATGTGGACTGGTCTGTTGTGCTGAACAAAGGGCCAGGCCTGAAGAAGTTTACCAGTTCCTCTACGGTATACTTAACTGGAAGATCTCCTCTCATCTATGACCACAACCTCTGGATAGTTACACAAAGAATAAGATTTGGATACAAGCAAATACCTGTTAAGGTATGGCTTTATTTCTGTGCCTCTATTCTGAGCGCACATCATAACATTTTGGAAACACAAATGTTGCATTTTGAAGAGAAAATGATTTTGAGTGAAGAGAATTCATTGCTGCATGCAAGAAATGTATTTCACTGTTTGCTATTATCCACACACACACACACACACACACACACACACACACGCACACACACACACACACACACGCACACACACACACACACACACACACACACACAATAACAGCTACTCTCACTCAGATCTCTGCTCTGTGTGCTCACAGACATCTGCAGACCTGCTCTCAGTGTGTCGCTCTCAACATCTCTGCTCCATGCACGCTCAACTCTCTGCACACCATTATAAGTGTGCCACAAAACCAACCAATCACAGACTTGGATGCAAAAACTTTGATTGGCATGTTACAGTCTCCAATCAGCTTGCTAGCTACGGCAATCTGGAAACATGGTCCAGAGTGTAGAAAAATCCAGTGGAGTGGTTTGGTTTAAATTAGGTTAAAACCAACAATGGTATTAAAAAAAAAAAAAAAATTTTAAATAGAATAATTCAACATACTAACTGAAAATGGATTTAACTACATTTTGGAGCGTGTTTTGTGGCACACTTATAATGGTGTAGAGAGTTGAGCGTGCACAGAGCAGAGATCTGAGCGAGAGGGGCTGTTATTGTGTGAGTATGGATAATAGCAAATACTGAAATACATTTCTTGCAGGCAGCAATCAATTTTCTTCGCTGAAAATAATTTTCTTCTCAAAATCCAACATGTGCACTTGCAAAAAATTTGTATTTGCGCTCAGAATAGAGGCACAAAAATAACTTGAGCTGTTCTGGAGGCGCTAACAGTACAGTCACTACACAGTAGAGCAGGGCGATATGACCAAAAATATTTATCACGATATACATTTGAAAATTTGCAATAACGATATAACTGACGACATAATTGACACTAGAGCAGGGGTCGGCAACCTGCGGCTCTTTAGTCCTTATACTGCGGCTCCGCGTGGTTTGGGAAAATAAATTACAAGTATTTAGCTGAAGTGTATTTTATTTATGTTAGTTCTTTTTAAACTTGTAGTTCTAAATTGGAAGATTATTTTGATATTGAAGTATAAAAATAAAATTATATTTTATTATTGTTCGTCGCTCAAAATAAGCGTCACACTGGCGGAAGCCGGTGTACCCGCCGAAACGCCGTGCATTTATCGAGACTTTCAACCCCAGGTAGGCCAGTTATGGATCTTCGGATCCACATTATGTCAGCAGCTCCACCGTGAACTATGTTAAAGACAAACACGCTCACGCCTCACAGATGACAGCTTACAGTCCTGCGTGAAGATGAAAGTGACTCGTACGCCCCGACCTGCAGACGCTGTGCGCAGAGGTTCAGGAGCAGAAGTCCCGTTGTAAACATATCACGGCAGACCTGACGATGTTTGCATGAACACGCTTTACAGCTTCTCTTTATTGACCACTTTTCACACACGGTTGCTGTACGCCTATAGTCGGCGCTGCAGACCACGCCCCGCAACACACATTTACCATGTAAAATAAATATAAGTAAATAAATAAATATTTACGCAGAATTTTGCAAATATTTATTTTTCATTTTTTTCAGCAGCATAGTGCTTTTTTCCAATTATTTTTTAAAAGTCAGGTCAAGGCTCCAAAAGTTCAAAGGCGATATGAGGGCGGCTCACAGCAGTTTTTGTTTCTGGATCATTTTAGTTCAGCTTTCCTTTTCTTATATTTCTTTAAGAGTTCAAAATGTGTTCATTACATAAATAAAATGTAATTTTCTCTGTAGCACTTCATGGATTTCATAAGCAACACACTTTAGTTGTTCACACAAAGCATAAAGGTAAAAAAACAATATATACAGTGTTGTCTTCATTTTAGATGTCACAAAGTATTTGCAGCTCCCAGTGTTTTCTTTTGCGAGGAAACTGGGTCCAAACGGCTCTTTGGGTGATAAAGGTTGCTGACCCCTGCACTAGACAAAATACTTTACAACTCCACAACTTTATTAGTGCAATAAAAACCATCAATGTATTTCCACTTAAACAAGCAGCTGTTTTTTATCTGCATTAAAGTTATATAAAAATGTAACAGTGCAAATGCAAATTCCTCGCTGACAGTTTAACCAAAAGGCATTTCCAGTGGAAACTGGCCGACACATCCTCAGCATAACCATGTATAATATCCACAACACTTAAAAAGAGGTTAAACACACACAGTACGGTAATATTATGTTGAAGCACAGTACGTATCACTCCGCGAGGCTCCGCCTACGATAGCCGTAATGCTCCGACACTCCATCAAGCGGTGCGGCTTCGTAGCTTAGCAAAGTCGTACTGAAACATTTGACAGATTTTCGAGCGCCGTGCACATAAAATCGTTTCGAGGTCAGTAAACACAACCAGGGTTCATACATAAGGCACACGGGATTATAAGGGGCTCTGTCGACTTTCAGAAAAATCAAAGGAGTGATTTTAAGTGTGCCATATTTTCCAAACAACACAGTAATAACGACGGCCCGCTAGCATGCGCTACCAAAAATAGTGCTTTGTTGTGTATCTGACGGACAAAAGCTAAACCAGTTCCACACCAGTGAAGCTGCAGCATTTTTACAAACCAGTTCAGGTTCATCTGTTTCATTCAACGATCCGCTTTCACTCTTCTCATTCTGCGTCGCCTCCATGTGCGTATGAAAACAAAGGTACTGCGCATGCACGTTTTACCCATATTCTATCGCCATATTTCATTTTCTTATTGTTGCTCAACATTATACCGGTATTACCGTGAACGGTATGATATGGCCCAGCCCTACTACACAGCTCCTTAACAAGGTGTTTCTTGTTGGAGATCCTCAGGACTCAGTGTCTGAGGAGACCGGTGGACGGAGTAGGCATCTCAGCTTGGGCTGCTGTCCTCTTCAGCCTGAACTCCAAAAAAGTGGTAGACAACTGATGACATTGAAATTGTTACTTTTCTATAATACTTGGATACAAAAACATCTCAAGTAAGTCTGAAGTAAGTGCTTGCAGACATTTCCAGCTCCTGCAAAATATTTTCAGCATAAATAATTTACTATAAGAGGCAAAACACATTTAAATCTGAATTTGTACATTTCTGTAAACAATAATTTGGTTTAAATCAATTCTTTTGTCTTCAATAACTCATTGTTCATATTGCGATAGACCTAATGAACAGCTTGCATTGGCCTGACTAGTGTAATATTACACTTTACACAGTCGTGTTTCAGCGATTAGTGAGAAGTTTAAAAAGGTGACCTTTAATTGTCAACGTTTGGTTGGTCAGTAGGTCCACAGACCACTGTTTGGTGCCCACTTCTGTGAATGCTAAGGACGACATCTGCGTTCTTCGTAACAGTGGTGTCAACAATAACGGTCATTATTTTAATGTTTGATGGCTACAGGCTGACCTTAATGACCCACTTCACATTACTCACTGGCCTGTATATTTTCTCCCAGGAGGAGGTGTTTCAGTGGTGGGGGGAGTGGTCTACGTGGTCCTCCTGTTCCAGGAGCTGTGGAGGAGGAGTGAGGAGCCAGGAGAGACACTGTCTCATGCAGAGGTAACTGAGTGACTTTCAGATGATATTCCACCTTCTGAATATTTTGGTTTCCAATACATGTGGAGTCTCAGCCTACAGATGTAACTGTAACCCATACGCACAAACACCAAACATTGTTCTGAAGAATAAAACAGATCAGCTGTGCCGTGGCTATCGATTTGTTTAGTAATTGCAGTGTTTCTGCACCATATTAAAATCATATTAAAAGAAAACATTTACATTTTAGTACAGTCATTTCAAATACAGTAAAGTACACATACAACCTAAATTAAGGCATAAAAAGCATCTCTGTCCTTTGAAAGGCTGCCAGTATCTCCTGGATGAGACCGGTTTACATTTATTTATGTCAGATAATTAAACGAAGTGTGATTCCACAGCTGTTCCCACACAAACAGCAGCACGAGCAAGAGTCGCCCACCGACTCCAGACTTCCTGTTTTATTGTGATAGTCCTCGTCTTGTGTGTCTCATGTTAACTCGTCCCTCCTGACGTGTCCCAGCTGTCTCTACTCACTTGTCTTCTTCCTCCAAAATAAAAGTCTGTCTTTGATTTATCCTTCATTTGTCTGTGAGTCTGCACTACATTCATCACACGGATAGCAATTTTTTTTTCACCTGTCCCGTTTGGTTCTTTTAATAATAATAATAATGGATTGCATTTTTATAGCGCTTTTCGAGACCCTCAAAGCGCTTTACAATACCACTATTCATTCACTCTCACATTCACACACTGGTGGAGGCAGCTACAGTTGTACCCACAGCTGTCCTGGGACAGACTGACAGAAGCGAGGCTGCCATCAGAATGATTGTCTAAAGGCAAAGAAAGATCCCAACGGATTTACTTTACCAAATGGACCATCCCGGCCTTGCCGTATTGGTCTATTTGATTCACCTTTGCTTTTATTGTTTATTTTAATTTATTTTCACTTGCTACACACGGGACAGACTTGACTGGGGGAAAGAAAGAGGGAAAGAAAAACAGTGGGGAAGAGGGACGGTGATAAAAGGCAAAAAACAAAAACCAACAAAACAAACAGACAAAAAATCCATCTATCAATCACCTGGATCACCTGTTGAGAAAGAAAAAAGAGAAAACCAGCAAAAAAAGAGAGCAATATAATAAACAACATGATCGCAATAATCTATGTGAATATAACAGTAAATACTAAATATTGAATATTATTGTGCCGGATCGACAGCGCACAGTGTGCTTTGAGGTAGGAGCCAAAAAGAGTGTAGTTTGTGTGTGTGATCACCCGTGTGTACACCTGTGAGCATGGACGCGCTTGTTTTTAAAAGGTTCCTTCATGTAATGATCTGTTAGAGGGTGTGGGGGGGCCACAGCCCCGTCCTCCAGGGCATGAAGCGGGTATGGAGGAGATCAAAACTCCAGACATCCAGAGGCCCCCAGAACACAAGAGACCATGGAAGACCAACAGAGGGGCAGCCGCGCCACTGTCCCAGAAAGAGCTGAGGAGAGTCCCAGATGAGGGCTCACTCAGCAGCCGTGGAGCAGAAGCCAGGGGGGGTGCAGTGACGTGCCCGTGAGCTCCGCCGGCAGCCAGCTGTGCCTGAGTGACCGAGCCCCAGGCCGAGAGGCCGAGGGCACCCCACCCCTGAAGGGGCCCAGCAAGCCCCAGGCTCCAGGCCCCGATAAGCAGCCACCAAGGAGTGAGCCGGTGGGTACCTGAATGCCATCCCCAGACACAAAGACCCACCAACGCACCGATGTCTGAGGGCGTCTGCCACTGTCAGGGGAAGTGGTGGTGGGGGGAGAAAGGCCTCCAAACCTTGGAGGGCCTGAGATGTCCCCAGAAAGGTGGTGTCTGACACCCAACCTGACATATAGACACAGACATACAGGCACACACAGATACAAACATCCATTCCCACCCTCATGCTCTCATATGCACTTACTCCACACTCAACCAACGTGGAGACAGACATAAAGAGACGCTGTACACACAATCACACTCCCCAAGCGTACTCTACGAACCGGGTCTAGGTACCCTTGCCCCTGGAGGGGGGAACTGCACCCAGACCCAGGTGGTGTTACCCTTTTCCCTGCGGTGGGGGAGGCAGACCGCCCCGACTCCGCAGCAGCAGGGAGGCCCCACACTCCAGACCGCAGTCGGACGGCCAACTCCTCCTAGCCCCCCCCACCCCAACAGGCAACACAGAACAGGGGTGTGTGAAGACTCCAAACCTCCCTCCACCCGCTCATATGTAGTGTTGATGCATGTGTGTTCTAAGGTGCATTTAAAACCCAGGAGGGCATGGAGCTACCTGCCAGAGAGCAGCAGGTAAGCGCATAGCCCCTCCTGATAGCCCTCAATGTCTACGTGTATTTAAAATTGAGAGGTGGGCAACAGCGCCAGGGGTGAGGTTGTACACCCTGACGGTCTTCTCGATGCCACTGTTGGGGCTGTGTTTCCACAAGCCCCGCTGGTTCACAAACTTATTCTCGTTAACGACAAAAACAAGGCGAACATCTTTTACTTGCTAGCAAGGGAGGCCCCAGCTGGTGTCTCAGAAAGCACTCTGAATCCTACCGCGTGGGGGCCCTACCCCCACACCAATCACAACAGCGAAGGTGGGACCAAACTATGACCCCCCACCCCCACTAGGTGATGGAGCTGATCATAGGAGCCCAGAGCAATTGATCTGATGTGGTGGCAGAGGCTGTATCAAGACTAAATATAATCTATTAGATAATTTCTATATTGGTTAGAATTAACCTCCTAGGACCTGCGTCCACATATGTGGACATCACATTTTGGGTTATTTAGACTAAAATACTCAATTTTGTTCTACAAGGGCCTGATATCCACTTAGGAGGACATTATACTGCCACTGTTCTATCAAAATTTTAAACAAATATCCTCATATGTGGCTCTCATTTTTCTTAGAAACAAAAATAAGGTTAAAAAAAATCTGGTAATTCTTTGTTTTTACATTCATCAGGTCCCAATGTGACCAAATATCAAAGAGAAATTAAAAATGCATGTCGTGGAAGAGTTCGAGTCTTTTCGAGTATTTTTCCAATTCATGAGGACTGTTTTCTTGGCTATGCATAGGGCAGTGAAAACCATATGGGCTATATTCTTTTCTGTAGTGACATTATCTAAGCTGCCCAACAAGCACACTAAGGGGGAAGTTGGAATGTTACATTTCAGACACTTCGATAAGTCTTCACATATCTCGCGCCAAAACTTCTGAACTGGTGGACAGAACCAAAGAGCGTGGATATAATTGTCCGGTGAATTGGTTTGGCAGTGTGAGCAGTTGTTGGTAGACGTAAAGCCCATCTTGAACATCCGATGACCTGTATAGTGCACTCTATGTAGTATTTTGTATTGAATTAATTGAAGACTGGGATTTCTAATTAGATGAAAGGTTTTTAAGCAAATCTGAGACCAGAAGTTTAGGTCTAAGTTAACTGATAAATCCGCTTCCCATTTTGCAATAGGAAGTGATATTGATTCATCTGTTTTAGAAAGCATTCTGTATATTTTGGATAGTAATTTGGGGGTTTTAAGAGTAAGAAATTGAACCACACTTGGTGGTGTTTGTAGTTCAACTTGACCTGGTTTAAATTTCTTTTTTACTATGGATTTAATTTGTTGATATTCTAAAAATCTTTTCTTGCTGATCCCATATTGTGTAACTAGTCCGTCAAATGAAATAAATTCTGTTCCTTCTAGTATATGTTCTAAATATTTGATTCCTTTATCACTCCAATCTGAAAAGTTTATCATATTATTGTTTTGTAATATGTCAGGGTTGTTCCAGATAGGTGTACGTTTGCATGGGATTAATGAAGACGCCGTCAATTTTAGAAACTCCCACCATGCTGTCAGAGACAAGCTGATGTTGATGCTTTTGAAGCATTCATGTCGTTGGATGTTTGAGCTGATAAATGGTAGGTCTGAGATCTCTAGATTATTGCAAAGTGCTTGTTCTACATCTAGCCAAGGTTCATCTAAGAGGGTATGTTTTAGCCATCCTGAGATAAACTGAAGCCTGTTGGCTAAGAAGTAGTGCTGAAAGTTAGGCAGTTCTAGTCCTCCTTTATCCTTGGTCTTTTGTAGTGTTTTTAAGCTTATACGTGGGGGTTTATTTTTCCAAAGGAATTTGGACATACATGAATCTAGAGATCTGAACCAATCTTGTGGCGGTTTAGTTGGGATCATTGAGAATAAATAATTTATTTTTGGTAAGACCATCATTTTTATAGCGGCAACCCTTCCCATGAGTGATATGGGTAGACATTTCCATCTAGCCAGATCATCTTCTACCTTCTTTAAAAGTGGGATATGGTTTAATTTAGTTAGATCTGCAAGCTTGGGAGAAACATTAATACCTAAATATTTTATATTTCCTGATTGCAGTGGTGTAGAAGAGGAATTATGGAGGGAGCAATTAATCGGTAGAACTGTAGATTTTGACCAGTTAATTGAGTAATCTGATATTCTTGCAAAAGAGTTTTTCAATTCAATCACCCCAGAGATATTGGTTTGTGAATTTTGGAGAAAGAGTAACACATCATCCGCATAAAGACTGATTTTATGTTCCACGTTCTTGCATTTTATGCCCTTAATTACTGAATTCTGTCTAATTGCTGCTGCTAGTGGTTCAATAAAAATTGCAAACAGTGAAGGGAAGAGTGGGCATCCCTGCCTGATGCCCCTCAAGAGACAGAAGCTGGAGGATGTCTGGTCATTTGTTCTAACACAAGCTGTTGGGGAGTTATATAATATTTTTAACCAGTTTATGAAAGAGGATCCAAAACCAAATTTGTGTAAAGTTGCAAATAGAAATTTCCAGTTAACTCTGTCAAATGCTTTTTCTGCGTCTAAAGAGAATATTGTAGTTTCTAGGTTTTTACTTTATGAGTAGTCTATCAAATTAAGTAATCTACGTGTATTTGTTGATGAGTGCCTACCTTTTATGAAACCAGTTTGGTCAGGATGAATTAAGAGGGAGGTTATTTTCTCCAGTCTCTTTGAGAGAGCTTTGCAGATTATTTTAATGGAAGCAGATACAGTGAGAGAGGTGTGTGTTTGGGAGATATTAACGCTGTAATGAAAGACAGATGCTGTAACTCTCTGTCCTCCCAAAGTTACACACAAACACATAAATAAGGCTATTTAGTCTCTTCTTTTAGTTCAAAATAACACACACACACACACACGATAGCCTCCTCCTAAGAAACAGATCCACTGCTTTGGCTGCTAAATAGTTTACTGTGTTTACGTCTTACTGCTGTAGGAAAGGAAGTTTTAATGAGGCCAGTACGAGCTGTAAATGTTCTCCTTCGGTCTGTTCCCACAGGCTGCAGACAAGCTTGCTGGGTTTCTACAGTGGTGTCGAGCTTCTTCTGCCATGGCCCACTTTGGAATCTGAAGAAAAAGTTTTATCCCTTTTTAATGATTATGATTTTAAAAAACACATTTGAATTTTACCTGAACAACAGTCGGGTTAGAGCTGCAACATCCCACCTACAGTGACTCAGTCTGAGAACAACAGAATGAAGTGATGATCCTAAAATGGCCTTTGCTGGGTGGGAGTATTTATGTGTCTCTCTTTGTCTTCACCCTGTGATATATTGGTGAGTTAACCCAGGTGTGTCCTGTCTGTGCAGGGATAGGCTCCAGCTCCACTTCATTTTGACCAAAGCGATTAAGAAAAACGGATGAATTTAGCAGGCAAATAAAGATACCCACTGTGCCACAGTAACCATGGTGTAGCTAGTGGGCAGTGGAAGGAAAGTGCAGGATTAGGCATGTCCATTCAAGAAAATCAGTCATCTCTAAGAGCTTACCATCTAAGGTAAGACCTGGACACTGTTGGTGGGTAGCTTGGTGACATCATCCATGATACTCAGTTATACACAGTTTATTTATTGTCAGTATGTTGGTGTGATGGACACAGGAATTATGATGGTCACAGGAATTATTAGAAAAACCAGGGTTTCTATTTAACCCCCAAAAATTATATTTACAAAAATAACAAACGTTGAGCTCATAAAAGAGGTCAAAGAAACAACTCTAAACTCAGCCCAAACAAACATAACTGACCTAAACAGGAAATGACACACAAGGGTTTATATAAGGACTGATCAGACCACCATGACACACGAGGGGTAACTAAATAAAACGCAATCATAAACCACAAAAATTATGCAGTACAGCCTGGTTTGTTTATAAAGTCAACACCAAAGAAGAACGTCAAAATCACTGAACCCTAAACTCAAATATGTAATCAAATACAAAAGCTTTTTTTTTAACATTGTCTCCTTCAGCAGGAAGTGGTGGTGCGGTCCAATTATCCCTCTTTGTATTTAAGGGCTTTAAACCCTGGCCTCCACCTTTTGTCTGGTAACTCTCAGGGATCATGGCAGGTAAGCAGCAAGTAAAAGAAACAAAGCTTAGTCAAACAAAGTAATGAACTGGTATGAATACATAACCTAAATGTGCGCGCTTACAAAAAGAGCAAATGTATCCAAACCAATCAATAAACTTATTGGAAACTAAAGTGTGTTCTTGTGTTCAAATGAAGAAATGAAAATACAAGAGTTACCGACTTTCGAGTGTGGCCGTGGGTTTGGCCATCACAGTTGGCAAATTGATACTTTGGTGTGAAAGCACAAGCTGCCAGCAGCACTGCAGTTAGATGAACGGTGTCATTAATAAAAGTGTTGATCATCCTGCACCCTGACACTCCTGTCTGTCTCAGGCTGTCCTCCACTCAAAATGTTAACAGCTCCTGTTGTGTTGGCTCCCCTAAGAAGTACCAGCTCTGTTCAAAGCAGGTATGATATTGATCCTTTACTGATTGATTACAATAAGGAAACGGTAGAAATAAGCATTGAAGCTTTTGTCTGTGTTTGTTCGTTTTGTGTATGTATTTGTTTTGTAGCCGTGTCCCAGCACCAGTGTTAGCTTCAAGCAGCACCAGTGTTCCCAGTTCAACTCTAAAGCCTTTGGAAGGAGATACTATCAGTGGATACCCCTGTACCCAGGTCAGCCTCATGTGTCAGTTCACTTTCATCATCTACATTTGACGATGCAACAGTAGATACAACATGTGAAGATTGTGTATTTGACACGATGTAGCCAGTGCAATTTGTTGATGTTGTTAAAGAAATGCTTTCTTAAATGTGTCCTTCCCCATGTAGCCGATTACATCAGCATCTCCAATAGACCATGTGACCTGCAGTGTACCACCATCAGTGGTGAGCGACAGCTGCTGGTTCCTGCCCACGATGGCACCTCCTGTCGGGATACTAAAAACCATGGAGTGTGTATCGAGGGGATGTGTCAGGTAACCAACCAGAAAAAGTTCAGATGCTTTTTTACTGTAGAAAATCTTAATGAAATATTTTCAACATCATAGAAAATACACTCATTAGCTGCTTCGTTAGCTTGTACGCCGTGGTGTTCATTCAACAAGGCGCTCAGACTTTTTCGTATACTTTGGCATGATGGCACAGGTGCTGCAGCTTTGTGGTCAGCATTTTCATGATGTTCCACTACATCCCACAGCTGCTCTGTCAGACTCATTGTGCTCGTCATGCATGATGCTTTTAATTTACCGCCATGATTTCTCAGGCAGTCTGAGATGATATGAGCTGTTTGGTTCGAGTATCTGTTAGAGGAGGGTAAACTCTGCAGAGGAGGACGCAGCTGCTGTCAGTACTGAGGCATGCTGGGAACAGCCTTCACCTTTCAACACATGGTTTCACTTCACTATAAAGAAGTTCTTTGTATGTTCTGCCGTCGCTGTAGTAGGGGGGGAGCTAAAGGAGCTGACATTCATGACCTTTCTTCTTGAACCCAGATGTGGGGCAGCTGACTGCCCTGTTGGGCTCCACGTCACCTTTCCTCCCCACTCTGACATGTGGTTGAACTCGGCTGTGTTTAAAAGTGTGCTTTAAAGAGCAAAACATGTGAACACCTTCACCCAATCACGTGGCTTGGAAGAATATATTTCCTGGTAGTAAAAATTCAAGTCAGGTGTTTCTGGTTGTTGTGAGAAAAAACTGCATGAGTGTTGTCTCTGAAGAACAAACAGTGTCACATGTATGTGTATTATGTCTGCTCCTCTGTTCCAGCCTGTGGGGTGTGATGGGGAGCTGTACAGCAGTAAGACTGTAGACAGATGTGGTGTGTGCGGAGGAAACGGGACATCGTGCCAGCGGATCTCTGGATCCTACAGGAAGGCACTCACACAGTTAGGTAACACACACACAGATAACCACATTCAACATATCTAACTGGCACAGGACGAGCATTTAGTGATTGTTTCACTCATCAGACAGCTCAAGGAAACCATTATCTTTACAACCACCTCAGCGAAATCCACTGCACGGTGTCCTGTAAACATGTGTCGTCATAGAAGCCTGAAACCGGGGTGGATGACTCCATGATGTCTTCACCCCCTTCTGCTGGTTTGTTACTACGCTGCCCGCCAGCAGGACTCTCGAAGCGAGGGAAGCTTTTTCAACATATTTTTTAATGCCTTGATTTTGCCTGCAAGGAGCCAGACTTTGTAATCTTTTTTTAAAAAATTGGTCTTGAACATTAATGTTCTTGAATTTATGAGTTTTTATTTGGACACGGGAATGTTTTTCAGTCAGTTAAATAACTTTACATTGATCCTGACATCATTCTGTTTCTACACATAACAGAAAACTTAGCAAAGAAGACATTTTAAATTGCATCTGTAGGCAATTTATTGCTAGCAACACATACACCAGTTTGTTCTTAGTTGGACCAATGAAAAATGTTGTTTGACAGCATGGTTTTGTACCAACACGGCTTCCCAAAGAGATATTGCCATGAAACTTGGCATATTGCAACATGGTGTAAAGTACGTTCTTAAAACATCAGAAGAAACAGGAGAAGTTAAGGACAAAAGAAGTGGCACACCTGAAATTCTACAGCAGATGAACAGTTATGTCCTTCAGTAATAAGGAAAATATCCAGCAAAGACCTGACAGGATCTGAGAAATGCATCTGACCCTTCGGCTGATTCATTTACTTTCCACAGAAGCCTCATTAGACGTGCTCTGAATGGAAGGACGGCTGTCAAGAAGCCACTGTTAAGGAACAGAAAGAGGGAGAACAGGCTGAAGTATGCCACATTAGAACTGGACTGGAAATCGCAGGCAACGTAACTCTTATGGAGTGATGGATCCAAACGGACTGGATCTAATCAGGAGTCCAACTGTCTACAGCCATGTTTCAAAGATGTTGGAGGCAGACGTCGACGCATGGTGTAATCCCATCGTGTGATGCAGTACCAGTGCATTAAAAACATACTTAGATAGGTTAGCCTTCGCCAGAGATCTGTCCTCACCAGACTCAGTCCTCGTATTCACAGAAATGTGTTCCTGCTGATAAACTCTTGGAGTGTTTTTTCTTTCCAATTGTGTTGCAGTTTAGTGACAAGTTTGTTTTTGTCATCAGGTTATGTGTTTATCACCAACATCCCAGCTGGAGCTTCAGACATTCAGATCATAGAGAGGCACAAGACGGAGAACATCCTGGGTGAGAACGTACAGCTTCTTTAAGGTCAATATCATCAGGGACCATGAGGGACCATGGTTCAATATCATCAAATATATGCATATATATCAGGGGTGCAACGATATTCGTATCGATATTGAACCGTTCGATACAGTGCTTTCGGTTCGGTACGCATATGTATCAAACAATACAAAATTTTTAATTTATTTTATCAACTTTTCTTCTGACGATGCTGTCTGTGTTGAGCGCTCAGTGGATCTGCGTTCGACTACTCCGCCTAGGCTGCACTGTCGAGCGCAGATCCACTGAGCGCAGCACAAGCTAGCAAGACAGAAGCTAAGCTCGTTGCAACATGGCAAATTGAACCTCCCCCACCCTCATTCAGATCTGGCGTTTGGAACTATTTTGTTCTTCATGTGACGTATGACCCTGAAGGTAAGCGCGTCATGGACAAAAGTAAAATAGTGTGTTGCATGTGCCACGCAATGCTCAATTACATGGGTGGGAGCTAGTGTGTTAGCGCAGTTAGCTCGTCTTGACACCGTCCAGCCCCACGCACAGGGCGATCCGCGGTAGCTCGTTAACGGAGATTTGCCGTGTTGTGGCGTTAACGTCATTTCAGATTAACGCTGACAGCACTAGTGGGAACACAACAAATATGACTGCACATTTACTCCGACATCATCCTAGTGCAAAGACAAGTGGAAGCAGACAAAAACAACAAGCACGCATGCTGCAAATGTTATGCTGGGCTTACACTGTGCGATTTTTGGCCCAGTTTGAGCCGATTTTTGAGTTGTGCGACCGTTTTGGCGATCGGCCCGATTTTGGCCTTCATCGTGCGTCGTGCATCGTGTAGTATACGTGGGGTAATGCTGGGCAGACACTGCGATTTTTTCAGTCGCGTGATTCAGCTCCTGCTCAAACTGTACGATTGACTCGCAGGGGTTAGAAGTTCATAGGTCATGATGCAGGGTTTCACACTATACGGCCCGATGCTCTGATGCGACCTGAGTGCTCACACTGTGCGTCCATAAAATGAAGGTTATAACAGAAATTCTGTCGCTCGCTCTCCCTCTCTGTCAACTTTGCTAAATTGCTAATGAAAAACATTGATCAGGCAGCTGTGATTGAGCAGCAGTGTAGATCCAACTATTTTCACGGTTGTTGTGGTCGTGATAATTTTGTGAGGCCACATGGAAAAGGCTCGGATGAGCTTGCCAAAGTTCTACAAGTTGTGCCTCCATCGCTTGTGTCCAGATCACACGCTGCACTGCCGTGCTGCGCCGTCTTTTTCGCTGACATTTGTGTTTGCGCGTGCGCAGTGTGACTAACTGCGGTGACACCCTCACGACCAAGCGATTGATGATTGGGAGCTGGTCGTGAGGTGTTAATCGCTTCTCGTTACCCCACGTATACTACACGATGCACGACGCACGATGAAGGCCAAAATCGTGCCGATCGCCAAAACGGTCGCACGACTCAAAAATCGGCTCAAAATGGGCCAAAAATCGCACAGTGTCTGCCCAGCATAACACCGCGGTAAAGTGAGCCGTCATTTGTGAGCCGCGGTCAAGCCAGCCGCCTCCTATCCGCCGCATAAATTTCCTTGCGCTTTTACACCAGTCTTTACGGTAGCGCCTTTTCGCTTTATGTGCCGATTGAAAGACTATACCCGCGCGCGCACAAATTACAATGTAGCAGCCCGATACAGTCAATACAATTATGGAAATGTCAGAAATTCATTAAAAATCATCCTGAGTAGTTGATGTCCAACTTTCAACACATCCCCCCTCTGGGACACCTACTGTACCTGTGTGCCAGGTTTCACCCAGATTTACTGTAGAATTCCTCAGAAATTAACCCCTGTTAGGCCCTTAAAAAATGCACCCTCTAAAGGCCCTAGGGACCAAAAATGGTCCCACCCCTAAAGGTGCAATAAAAAGATTAAATATTCATTTTTTTTCCCACTTTAAATTGGTCAGTCTTTTAAAACTACTTCTCCCTGAAATATTCATATAAAGTTTTAATTATATTTTCGTTGTTTTAACCCTTTAAATCCCAGTTTTATTACATGAGCGCACTGTTTTTTTAGCCCCAAAAAACAAAAAAAACTAAATATTTTCAAAAAAACCCATTTGAAGTAATATTAGTTTGTTATTATAATTAGGCCTTTAGATGGACCAAAGATTGGCACCAACATTCATTCTGATCAATTACTATTTTTTTTGCAGGAGCAGATTTAAAAAAATGCATCCTCTAAAGGCCCTAAGGACCAAAAATGGTCCCGCCCCAAAAACTGCAATAAAAAGATTATATATTCATATTTTTTTCCACTTTAAATTGGTCAGTCTTTTAAAACTACTTCTCCCTAAAATATTCATATAAAGTTTTAATTATATTTTCGTTGTTTTAACCCTTTAAATCCCAGTTTTATTACATGAGCGCACTGTTTTTTTAGCCCCAAAAAACAAAAAAACTAAATATTTTCAAAAAAAAACATTTGAAGTAATATTAGTTTGTTATTATAATTAGGCCTTTAGATGGACCAAAGATTGGCACCAACATTCATTTTGATCCACTTTTATTTTTTTTGCAGGAGCAGATTTAAAAAAATGCATCCTGTAAAGGCCCTAAGGACCAAAAATGGTCCCGCCCCAAAAAATGCAATAAAAAGATTATATATTCATATTTTTTTCCACTTTAAATTGGTCAGTCTTTTAAAACTACTTCTCCCTAAAATATTCATATAAAGTTTTAATTATATTTTCGTTGTTTTAACCCTTTAAATCCCAGTTTTATTACATGAGCGCACTGTTTTTTTAGCCCCAAAAAACAAAAAAACTAAATATTTTCAAAAAAAACCATTTGAAGTAATATTAGTTTGTTATTATAATTAGGCCTTTAGATGGACCAAAGATTGGCACCAACATTCATTTTGATCCACTTTTATTTTTTTTGCAGGAGCAGATTTAAAAAAATGCATCCTGTAAAGGCCCTAAGGACCAAAAATGGTCCCGCCCCAAAAAATGCAATAAAAAGATTATATATTCATATTTTTTTCCACTTTAAATTGGTCAGTCTTTTAAAACTACTTCTCCCTGAAATATTCATATAAAGTTTTAATTATATTTTCGTTGTTTTAACCCTTTAAATCCCAGTTTTATTACATGAGTGCACTGTTTTTTTAGCCCCAAAAAACAAAAAAACTAAATATTTTCAAAAAAAAACATTTGAAGTAATATTAGTTTGTTATTATAATTAGGCCTTTAGATGGACCAAAGATTGGCACCAACATTCATTTTGATCCACTTTTATTTTTTTTGCAGGCGCAGATTTAAAAAAAATGCACCCTCTAAAGGCCCTAAGGACCAAAAATGGTCCCGCCCCAAAAAATGCAATAAAAAGATTATATATTCATATTTTTTTCCACTTTAAATTGGTCAGTCTTTTAAAACTACTTCTCCCTGAAATATTCATATAAAGTTTTAATTATATTTTCGTTGTTTTAACCCTTTAAATCCCAGTTTTATTACATGAGTGCACTGTTTTTTTAGCCCCAAAAAACAAAAAAACTAAATATTTTCAAAAAAAAACATTTGAAGTAATATTAGTTTGTTATTATAATTAGGCCTTTAGATGGACCAAAGATTGGCACCAACATTCATTTTGATCCACTTTTATTTTTTTTGCAGGAGCAGATTTAAAAAAATGCACCCTCTAAAGGCCCTAAGGACCAAAAATGGTCCCGCCCCAAAAAATGCAATAAAAAGATTATATATTCATATTTTTTTCCACTTTAAATTGGTCAGTCTTTTAAAACTACTTCTCCCTGAAATATTCATATAAAGTTTTAATTATATTTTCGTTGTTTTAACCCTTTAAATCCCAGTTTAATTACATGAGAGCACTGTTTTTTAGCCCCAAAAAACAAAAAAAATTAATATTTTCAAAAAAAACCATTTGAAGTAATATTAGTTTGTTATTATAATTAGGCCTTTAGATGGACCAAAGATTGGCACCAACATTCATTTTGATCCACTTTTATTTTTTTTGCAGGAGCAGATTTAAAAAAATGCATCCTGTAAAGGCCCTAAGGACCAAAAATGGTCCCGCCCCAAAAAATGCAATAAAAAGATTATATATTCATATTTTTTTCCACTTTAAATTGGTCAGTCTTTTAAAACTACTTCTCCCTGAAATATTCATATAAAGTTTTAATTATATTTTCGTTGTTTTAACCCTTTAAATCCCAGTTTTATTACATGAGCGCACTGTTTTTTTAGCCCCAAAAAACAAAAAAACTAAATATTTTCAAAAAAACCCATTTGAAGTAATATTAGTTTGTTATTATAATTAGGCCTTTAGATGGACCAAAGATTGGCACCAACATTCATTTTGATCCACTTTTATTTTTTTGCAGGAGCAGATTTAAAAAAAATGCACCCTCTAAAGGCCCTAAGGACCAAAAATGGTCCCGCCCCAAAAAATGCAATAAAAAGATTATATATTCATATTTTTTTCCACTTTAAATTGGTCAGTCTTTTAAAACTACTTCTCCCTGAAATATTCATATAAAGTTTTAATTATATTTTCGTTGTTTTAACCCTTTAAATCCCAGTTTTATTACATGAGCGCACTGTTTTTTTAGCCCCAAAAAACAAAAAAACTAAATATTTTCAAAAAAAAACATTTGAAGTAATATTAGCTTGTTATTATAATTAGGCCTTTAGCTGGACCAAAGATTGGCACCAACATTCATTTTGATCCACTTTTATTTTTTTTGCAGGAGCAGATTTAAAAAAATGCATCCTGTAAAGGCCCTAAGGACCAAAAATGGTCCCGCCCCAAAAAATGCAATAAAAAGATTATATATTCATATTTTTTTCCACTTTAAATTGGTCAGTCTTTTAAAACTACTTCTCCCTGAAATATTCATATAAAGTTTTAATTATATTTTCGTTGTTTTAACCCTTTAAATCCCAGTTTTATTACATGAGCGCACTGTTTTTTTAGCCCCA